AATAAAAAATAAAAAATTAGATAATCGATCTAGATTACATACCTTTGAGAGCTTACCACTATAAAAATTACATAAATTAAAGGTATAAAAAAATAAAAAGTATTGAATCTTATCTGTAAAAATAAGACAAAAAGGTCACATGTAGCAATATAAATCATATATAACACATAAATTAAATAATTAAGAAAGATGAATTGTAAAGATCATACAAAATAAATGAATACAAAATATTTTCATAATTAAGTTAATCTATCATAAATGTAAAGAAAATAAAATGTTTAAAGTCAAACTAAACTAAAGTTTTAACAAAAAATAAAACAAATTAGGAAACATAAAATTAAGAAATTTGATTTAAGTAAAGAATATATTTAAGAAAACAAACATAATAAATTAAAGAAAGGAATAAAATTAAAACAAAATTGAAAGGAACCTGCGACGACAATTAAAAACGAAAAAGAAGTCAAATAAATAAAAGAAAAAGAAAAGAATTGTGGTAAAATTTAAAAAGTTAAAGTCAAATAAATAAAATGTCTCTTTTATTGCTCTCAAACTTCGATTACAATGTCTTGAGTGATTCTCTCACACACTCTTTTTCTCCTCTCTTTTCTTATTTCTTTCTCTCGTTTCAATGTTTTTTTTGGCCTCAAAAGAGATGGAAGCGACTTCTATTTATAATTGAGCCTCCTTACATCCAACAAACTAGATTATTTATATCGAACACCTAGATTAAAAGCATATATATCTGTAGACACCCGTTTTGACCGGGTTTTTAAAAAAAAATATTATATTATTATTATTTTTATTATTAACTGTATTACACTGTTTTGCAGGCCTAAATTCAAGCCCAAACTAGTGACCCAAATAAAGCTCTACCCCGAAGCCCAACACAACCCAACAGTTCAAGACCTATCTGGGGTCCAAAATCTGGACCCGACCCGTGAGACCCAACTCAAGCCCAGACCCGAGGCCCAACCGACCCGACTCGGATCACCTAACCCTAAACAACTTGATATTGCATAGTGCTCTACTGCGCTGCCACTCACAAGCCACTAACAAGGAATAAAAATGCATGGGATATTATATTTAAAACATCAAGTGTATTATATTATATTAGATAAGTAAAAATGGCTATAAAAAGCCGAATGAAAATGTAAGAAGGGATCGAATTCCTCTCGATTATTTCAAGGAAATACAAAGCATTTCAAGGTATTTTTGTGTATTTTTTCTTTTCGAAATACCAATAACATATATATATATATGCATGATAACCACATATTTTACAACATGTAATAAAAAAATAGAGATAAAATAAAGTGGTTTACCTGGTGAGGAGTGTAGAACCGAACCACGGTGGTCAGAGTGATGAAAAGTCAAAACGTCAAGGCTCATTTAGGGTGGGTTTGATTGGTTTTTGAGTTTTTTAAACCCTAAAATTTGTCCTAGGAGGTAGATCTACGCTTAGGGGTGTTTTTGGGAGAATTTTTGGGACAACTCTCCCTTTTTTTGGGGGGGGGGGTGTTTGGTTAACAAATGAAAAAAATATGAAATGTTGGTATATATATAGAAACTTAGGGGTATAATTGCATCTTAAACCCGCTCTATTTTTAGTCGTGTTTTGCATTTTGGTCTTTGAAGGGACCAATATTGATATTATACCTTTTTATCATATATGCTTTAATTATTTGGTAAAATCACTATTTCGGTCCCTATAACTTAGCCGTGTTTTTATATCTTGGTCACTAATCCTTTCGTTTTAACTTATTTTTATTTTATCACGCAACTTTATTTTAATTCAATTTAGTCCCTGTTAGATCTTAATTTAGCTACTGAATTTTAATTCCTTACATTTCGATCATGTTTATTTTTATTTAGCTACTATCTTTTGTTTTATTGTATTTTAATCCACATGATTATATTTTATTATAATTTAGGCCCCTGAATTTATTTTAAATTGATTGTTGAGGATCTTATTTGTTAATATTTATTTATTAGGTCTTTCTAGTTTCTATTAATACTATTTTAATCCTTTAATTTTTTGTTTGTGATATTTTAGTAGTTTAATTTTTTTCTTTTGCTATTTAATCCCTTAAGTTTCTATTTTTCTCTCACAGCTCATTCCTAGAATTAATTTGATCCATGAATCTTAATTATTTCCAATTTAATTTTTTATTTGAATTTTTTCCTTTTATTTATTTATTTAGTTTTTTATTTCGATCTTAATACTAACTCTTTATTTTTGTTGGTTTCATTTTTTAACTTTATTTATGATTCTTAAGGATAATTTTAATTGATCAAAAGGTAAATAATTATGATCGAATTTTTAAATTTTAATTTTAATTTTTGCAATTAAGACAACCGATAAATTAAATGGTACCGAAAGGGTAGTTCAATGGTGTTAATCTTTCCTTAACTGTAACCGACTCCTGGGAAATGATCTCGGAATACTCTCCATAAGAAAGCCTCGACTTTTGGTTGGTCTAAACTTGACCAAACCAGTTTCCAAACATCATCCGAGGAAAATCCATTTGACGAGATGGAGAAGCAAAAGTCCTTTGGTTTGTAGATGCCAATTGAACTTCCTAATCATTTGATACAATCTTTGGATGCTGCACTTGAAGGAGCCGAAGAAATGACATTCATGAAATCATTCCAACACTCAACTTCCTAGTTGAAAAGCCTTTCCGGAGCTAAATATGCCAAACCCAAACTCCGTTAACAAGAGTTCCAGATTCGCAGACTTTACCAACTTTTTCACCGCGAGGGCACATATGCGAGGGAAAAGTGTTTTAAGAGAGGTGGAACCAACCCAATGATCGAACTAAAAGTCGATGGCCTCTCCGTTGCCAAAGATGCGCTGGATATTATTGGTATAGCCGTCAGTCGAATTGCTTTTAGGTTTTGTAATGTTTCTCCATATAAAAGAGCCATGTTGTGGGTTGGTAGAATTTGGAACAATACTTTTTGGATCGTGACCTGTATTTGAATCCATAACTCTTCTTCACAAGCTCGATTGTTCCTTGTCATATATCCATCCCTACTCCGAAAGGTAGTAATTTCCTCTTTCATCCCTCAAGTCTAAATTACACTTTATCAACAATCAGTTGCCATAGTTCTTTGGAATTGTGACGATAACCTAGGGGCAATCCGAGGTATATGGTAGGAAGTGAGTTAGTCCCACATTTTATTTCCTTTGGCCAGGCAGATAGGGAGTTGTTTCACATATTAATATTGTACAACTTTGATTTTCTTGTATTAAGTTTCAGCCCCAAAGCCACTTTGAAGATGTACAAAAATCTTTTTCTGTTTTTCCACATGACTTTCCGATGCCTCAAGGAATAGAGCGAGGTCGTCAGCGAACTGCAAGTGAGTTATCTCAATGCTAGCCTAATCCACCATCATACATTTTATAAAGCCAAACTCGAAAGCGTTTTCAATGAGGGAGAAAAGAGCTTCCCCGACTATATAAACAAAAATAGGGACAATGGACAACTTTGTCTGAGGCCCCTCCAATTTTGAATAAACCAGATGGTCTGCTATTAACTAACACATATATTGAAGTTGTCGATAAACACAAGTACACCCAGTTTTCCCACTTTGAACTGAAACCCATTTTTTGCAGGATTAAATCGAAGAAATCCCATTCAACCATATTGATAACTTTTCAAATGAGTTATTATTTAGAGCCTTTTCACTTAGGTTAAGCTTGTACTTGAGCAATTTTAGAATCATATTTAGATTTATTTTAGCATATTTTACATCATTTGCATTTTGGGAATGAATTGTTGATACTTGGGCTGATTTTAATGTTCTTGGTGCAAATTAATATATAGATGTTGTGACATTGTTAATGTTGTAGTTGTTGCTGAGCGTTAATGTTGGATTGAACTGTCGAGATGATTCTAAAACAGCTACTGAGTCACCAAGCAATTAGAGAAATTTTAGGAATTGATAAAGTTGTGGAAAAAAAGGTGGAATTTAAATTCAAGGAGTATTCAGAAAAAAGGGAGCTTTTCTATTAGTCGAAAGTTTGACTTTGGTGGGCTATAAATTTAATATTTTCTACACACTTTATTCATCCTTTAAAACCCTAATTTTCTTAGCGATCTTTTATTTTTCTATTATACCTCCGCCATGGCATCTTAAAAACCTTTAGGAAAACAACACTTGGACGTGAAGCATGTTGCAACCGTGGGAGCAACGGTCGATGATCAATTTGGCGTCATCTTAGCGATTTAGATCAAAATATGCTTATCTGAATTACTATAGAGATATAGTCCTTGTAAGTTGTTGGTGAATATTTTCCAAAGAAGAATAACATGCTAGGTTAAATCTAGACACATCAATCGTAATGCTACAACATTGTTATTTGAATGTTGTTGTTTGAAATCTCACAAACATTTGCATAAATCGATCATTTCTTTATTTACTTGTGTTGTAATCTCATTTATTCTATTATGTTTTCTATTACATTGCTACAACATTACTCCCTACATCAACCATACACAGTTTTACATTTGTTGCATAACAATTCATTGAGTTATACTAGTCTCTGTGGATACAATATTTGATACATTAATTTGCATCCACTTTTACTACTTGATAAACGATAGTGTATGCTTGCACTGATTGTCGTTACATTATTTGAAGCATCAAGTTTTTAGTATCGTTGCCAATGATTAGTGTCATTACTTGTAGAGTTGTTTTCTTTTATTTACTAACTTTGTTTTCATTTTTTTTATGTAGCTTTAGCATGACGTTGCTGGTGCATGCCATGTATCAACAATCGAGACTTAGTTCCTTTTGATCTAGAAATGGAGAGAACTTTTCATATAAAGAGATAGAAAAATCAATAACATCCAAAAATGAATCAAAATATTGTGGGAAATGATGGTGAACAACCACTGTCAATCTAGGATAATTAGAATCTCCCAAATAACAATGGGTAAAATAACGAGAGGATTCCATCCCAACATGAATCTAAGGCTCCCAACATGAATCCAAGGCTAAGAAACAACATCACATCTTTCAATAAAATGGAAGATGAAAAATTTTATGAAGCATGTGAGAGGTTTAAAGACTTGTTGCGAAAATGCCCGTTGCATGGTTTCCAACATTGGACGAAAATTGAGATATTCTACAATTGTCTTGTAATACCCCAAAAATTAGATCAAGGACTATATCAAAAAGATTTTAAAATTTAAGATTTAATTGAATAAGTGGGATAAGAAGAGAAAAATGATTTGAAATAGTGTTTAGACTAATTTGTATCAATAGATAAGTTAAGAGGGCATTTTGGTCTTTTAAGAGGGAAAATCAATTTAAAAATATGTTAGGGATTTTAAACAGGAGGAAAGAGTAAAGTAAAGCATTTCCAACTTGATATGATCTCGATTATTTGTTTCGAGTCATATATGAGAATGCCCGATCGTGATTCTAGTAAGAAACCCCATAATGATAGCTTAAACTCTGAAATTGTATAAATATAAACATAAGAAGGAAAATGATATGAAATAATATTTGAAATGATGGAATGAAAAGAATGAGGAAGTTGTTTGAAGGTGATGGAAGAGTGATGGTTGTTGTGGTTTAATGATAATGAAAATAGATGGTGAAGTATGAATGGTGTTGTCGTGGCAAATGTTGTTGTCGTGGTAAGTGTTGTAAGGTTAAAGCGGATTGTGATCCGTTAGGTATTTGGAGCTATGAACCAACAATATAAAAGATGGAATCGAAATGGTAGGGTATGGAACGTAACCCACTAGCTATAGATGAGCTAGGAACCAACGCTATAACAAAATGAAATGGATGAAGACTACAAGACTATCTTGAAGCCGATAAAGTTCTACAAGAGAACAAGAATGAAAGCAACCTCTCAAAGATGTTTTATATATTCAAAAATGTGTTTACAAATGATCCCAAAGGTGCCTATTTATTGTATTTTTAAGAAGCATATGAAAAGACTCAAAAGATGAAAACATTCTCATCAAATTAGCAATAAAATGCACTTGAATGCTTTGTCTTCTTATCTTCAAAGTTGGATTAATATTCTAGATCATTTTGGGATGAATCTAGACAATTTGAAGCTAAATTTGACCTTAATTTCGTCCAAGGGGAGGAAGACTCTTGCTATTCCATGCAGAAAATTATCTTGATAAGTGAATTAAATCACCCTTCATTGCATGCTCCCTTGAAGAATATGAACATCCCTTGAACTTAGATGATAACAATCAGCTTTGAATGCCTTTAATAGGTGAATTAAGAGTCCTTCAATGGATTGTCACTTGGCTGAAGTTGAAAAGACTCTTCCTTGTCTCAAATTCATCCAAATCATCCATGCATAAAATTCCTATAACAATTCCAGCCTGCACTCTCTTCAATAAATCGATCATATCTCAAGCTCCTAATATTGAATTAAGGTGATTCAAAAGGTGTTGGAAAGATAAGAGATAGAGGAATAATATCGATTTCTAGAACCATACACATCTGTATCTGATTCATAATTGGAAGATATTCTGACTAACATTCTTGCATATGATGAAACCATTCAACTTCTCTCATGCACCTAGACACAAAGGTGAACTTTATTCAATATTTAATTTAAAAAAATGCATGAAACAATTAAGATTTAATCTAATAAATGAACTAATTTGATGAATGAACTAGATTATTTAAATGCAATGCATGCTTGAATGAACAACACACTTATTAATGCAATGAATGTTATGCAAACTTTAAATTCTCATGCAAATACATGCATAAGCAAAGTAAAGTGTTCCTCCCTTATTATTCCTTCTTTATCACGTTCCAATCATGATGTGAACATACTCTCCATGGCTTCTTGAAACTCCTTAGCCCTTGCCCGTGTGATGGGACCACTTGGATACTTATCCGGGTCTTTGCTATTGGCGATCATATCAGTTCCTCCCTCTTTAAGGCGATTTGTCCCCAAATCATCACCTATATCATAAGGAGACAATTCAGCAACGTTGAAGGTTGCACTGACATTAAACTCACCTGGAAGATCTAATTGATAGGTGTTGTCATTGATCTTCTTGACTATTTGGAATGGTCTGTCTCCCTGAGGTATGAATTCGGACTTTCGTTATGCCAGAAACATTTATTTCCTCTTGTGCAGCCACACCCAATCCCCTGGCTAAAAACTAATTCGCTTACGACCCTTATTTGCTTACTGGTTATATTTCTTAGTTCTTTTTTCAATGTTCTCCCTTACTTGTTGATGAAGCTTCTTAACAAACTCAGCTTTGTTAAGTCCATCTTTATTCACAATTTGATCAGCAGGTAATGGTAACAAGTCTATCGGTGTTAATGGATTGAACCCATACACCACTTCGAAATGCGTACGCCCCGTAGTAGTATGGATTGAACGGTTGTATGCAAACTCCACATATGGTAAACTCTCCTCCCATGTTCTAAAATTCTTCCTAATGATAGATCTAAGTAACATAGAAAGTACTCGATTCACCACTTCATTTTGACCATCCGTTTGAGGATGGCAAGTGGTGGAGAATAGTAGCTTAGTACCAATCTTACTCCATAGGGCTCTCCAAAAGTGGCTTAAGAACTTCACATCCTGACCAGACACAATAGTTCTTGGTATACCATGTAGCCTTAAAATTTCCCTGAAAAATAAAGTAGCAATATGTGAGGCATCATTAGTTTTTTCATAGGGAATGAAATGAGCCATTTTGGAAAATCTATCAACAACTACAAAGATGGAGTCTTTGTTGTTCTTTGTGGGTGGAAGCCCTAGCACAAAATCCATTGAAATATCGATCCATGGTGCTTCTGGTATGGTAGTGGTATGTAAAGTCCATGTGGCATGACTTTAGATTTGGCCTTCTTGAAAGTAATCCAATGCTCACATAACCTTTCCACATCTCATTTCATTTTGGGCCAATATAGATGTTCTTCAAGTATAGACAAAGTCTTTGCTATCCCAAAATGTCCCATTAATCCTCCTCCATGAGCTTCCTTAGTGTCGCATGGAACCTTGGGGGATGCATAGCCTCCCTTCCTTGAATAGAAAACCATCATGCTTAAAGTATTTATCAATCGTTCCTTTCTCACAAGATTTGTAAATTTCCCCAAAATCAGAGTCATAAACATATAAGTCTTTAATAAAAGTAAAACCCAACAACTTAGATTCCAAAGTGTTTAAAAGAACATACCTTCGGGACAAAGCATCAGCAACTATAATCTCCTTACCTTTCTTGTAATTGATAACATATGGAAAAGTTTCAAGAAATTATACCCATTTGGCATGCCTTTTATTGAGTTTATGCTGCTCCCGAATATGTTTCAACGCCTCATGATCTGTGTGAATGATGAACTCCTTAGGCCAAAGGTAGTGTTGCCATGTTTCCATTTCCCTCACAAGATCATACATCTCTTTGTCATAGGTAGGATAATTAAGCATAGCTCTATTTAATTTCTCACTAAAATAGGCTATAGGACATCCACCTTGAGAAAGATTGCTCCAATTCCTACACCTGATACATCACATTCAATTTTAAAAGTTAAATTAAAATCAGGTAGAGCAAGTAAAGGGGCATGTATTAAAAAATATTTAATTCTATTAAAAGACTTCTCTTGATCTTCCCCCCAAAAGAATTTAGAATTCTTCTTAATAACACTTGTTAGTGGGCCGGCTATAGTGCTGAAGTTTTGGACGAATCTCCAATAAAAACTTGCAAGACCATGGAAGCTTCTAACTTAAGAAATGCTTATAGGTCATGGCCACTCTTCAATGGCTTTAACCTTATCTTTGTCAACCTCTAAACCTTCAGAACTCACAAAAAACCTAGGAAAACAACTCTGTCAGCACAAAATGTACATTTTGGTAAATTAGCAAACAATTTTTCCTTCCTCAAAACAAGTAAAACTGACCTCAAATGTTGAATATGTTCTTCCATGGTTTTACTATATATTATAATGTCGTCAAAATAAACCACACAAAACTTACCCAAGAATGGCCTAAGAACATGATTCATTAACCTCATAAATATGCTTGGTGAATTAGTTAAGCCAAAAGGCATAACCAACCACTCATAAAGACCTTGCTTCGTTTTGAATGTTGTTTTCCACTCATCACCTTCTCGCATTCGTATTTGGTGGTAACCACTCTTAAGTTCAATATTGGAAAAGAGGTTAGAACAACTAAGCCCATCTAACATGTCATCTAAGCGTGGAATATGGTGACAATATTTTACCGTAATTTTGTTTACCGCTCCACAATCCACACACATGCACCAAGTTCCATCCTTCTTTGGCACAAGTAGAACCGACACGGCACATGGGCTAAGGCTTTCCCTCACGTAGCCTTTTTCCATCAACTCAGATACTTGCCTTTGTAATTACTTAGTTTCTTCGCGGTTACTTCGATATGCTGGTCGGTTTGGAATGACGGCACCAGAAAAAAAGTCTATTTGATGTTCTATGCCACGAATAGGTGGAAACCCACTTGGTATTTATTCCGGAAATAGGCCATCAAACTCCTGCAATAAAGACACAACAAAAGCAGGCAAATTTTTATCAAGGTGGTTAGTGTTCAAAAAATTTTCCTTGTACATGAGCACAAGTGCTTCCTTTATCGTCGTTAAACACTTTTTCAACTCTCTCTCTTTAGAAAGAATGATAATTTTCCTTCCTTCATTTTGATTACACTCTTTTTCTTTTACCTCCATTTTGGTCTCTCTCTCTTTGGCTTTTTTAAAATTTCCTGTCAATTGATTTTGGTCTTCATGTATTTGCTTTGGTGAAAGTGGAGCTAAAGTGATCTTCCTTGCCTCATGGGTGAATGTATACCGGTTGGTATAACCGTCATGGATCACTCGCCTATCAAATTGCCAAGGCCTTCCAAGTAGTAAATGGCTTGCGTGCATTGGTACGACATCACATAACACCTCATCTTTGTACTTCCCTATGGAGAAAGCAATTCGAACTTGCTCGGTCACCTTGAGTTCTCCTCCATCGTTGAGCCATTGCAGTTTATAAGGTTGTGTATGCTTTGTTGTTGCCAAGCCAAGTGTATCTACCATTAAGGTACTAGCAACATTAGTGAAACTACCTCCATTGCGTCTCCTACTT